AAGTAAACGTGAATTGTTATGATGAAGTGGAAATACAAGTAGGGAAATCATCCATAGATAACATCCATAAAAACCCAAATCCAAAAGATCATCACAACCATTTTTTTAAAATCTTATTTTATTGAGAAATAATACATTTTGCCTCAACTAAGGGCATTGAGTATTAAGCTCTGTGAGACTTATTCATACCATATATACCATAACAAAAACAATGGAAAAATTACAACAAAAGAAAAGAAAAAAGAAACTTAGTAAAATAAAAAAAATTAAACATTAAATCCTCGCGCGGACTCATTACCGCGTATGGGGAGCGTCCCACGGGTGGCGGATGTGGGGATGGTCGGTGGAAATTCCTTGGAAGTTCCTCCCGGCTAAGTCCGATGGACTCGCTGACCAACAATGAGAGGGGCCCTCCAGACTTGCTGGAGGGTGTGACGTAGGATTGAACGCCCTACTCACATATCTTTAGTTCACCAAACACCACAAAAAGTCATGGATCTCCCTAAGGTAAAACGCTCATTATCCGGAAGTAAACTAGTCCCCCGTTCGGGTCTCCGGGTGGGGACTGCTTTAGGGGATTCATGGCGCAAGTTGAAATATAGGGATTTAAATATTGGTACGTGGAACGTAAGGAGTTTAAACACAGCAGGGGGGCTAAAATCGGTCGGGAATGAGGTAAATGGGTACAATTTGGATGTCGTGGCTCTGCAAGAGGTTCGCTGGCCAGGAGAGGGCTCGATGAGGGAAGGGAAGTACACTATTTGGTACGGAGGAAGCGGGAATCATTGTTTAGGTACCGAGTTTCTAATTAGGCGTAGATTACTATCCGCTTTGAGGGACGTACAATTCTTTAGTGATAGAATTTCGGTAGCTACATTTCAGGGACGTTGGTCTAAAATCGCATTAATAAACATACATTGTCCGACCGAAGACAGTGACGATGATGTCAAAAGTGAATTTTACGATAAACTCGAATGGGTTTATGATAAACTACCACGAAACTACATGAAAATAATTGTAGGTGACGCGAACGCAAAGGTAGGAAGGGAAGAAGTTTATATTCCGACGATTGGTAAAGAAAGTTTGCACGAATATAGTAATGATAATGGGATCCGTCTAATAAACTTTGCCATCTCGAAAAACCTGATAATTAAAAGTACGACGTTTAAACACAAGGATATTCATAAATATACTTGGACATCACCGGATTCGCAAACACGAAATCAAATCGATCATGTCTTGATACAACATAGCTGGCAAAGCAGTATAATTAATGTGCGGTCTTATCGCGGAGCAGAATGTGGGTCGGATCATGAATTAGTAATCGCGAAACTTCGACAAAAACTTAATATAAAAAAGAGAAAAGAAAACCGTTTCGATTTTGAGAATTATAATTTGGAAAAATTAAAAAACCCATCAATTAGAAACCAATTCGAGCTAGATGTTAAGAATAGGTTTGAAGCTTTATAGCTTCCTGACGAGGACCACGAGGATATTGACAAGTTATGGATAGAGATCAGGGATAATATTAAAGCGGTCGGTAACTCGTGTCTAGGAAAAAAGGAAAATAAGAATAACAAACCGTGGTTTGATGAAGATTGCTTAAACATGTGCGAAAAAAGAAAAACCGCTAAATTAAAAGCTCTAAATAATCCTAGCGAAGACAATCTGGAATACTTCCGAATCTCAAAGAACGAAACGACAAAATTGCTCAAAAATAAAAAAAGGGAGTATCTTAAAAATAAAATAATTGAAATAGAAACTAATAGAATCGAAAATAACGTAAGAGACATGTACAAAGGTATAAACAGATCACGTAAATATGTAGGGCCCGTAACGTCTGGAATTAGGGATGATAATAACAATATTCTGACCGATCCTGTTGACATACTGAATAAGTTTAAGGACCACTTTGACAGTATTTTAAATACGGGAAATTATGATCTGTGTTCTCCTTCTGAGTACCAGAGTGCTGAACCGTTAATAGAAGGACCAAGTAAAGAGGAAGTTGAAGTAGCTATCGGAAAATTATATAAAGCAGCGGGAATCGATAATATTCCTACTGAACTAATTAAGGCATGCGGGGAAGCTGGAGTTTCTAAAATACATCGGTTGGTTAAAAAGATCTGGGTGAACGAGAAATTACCTGAAGAATGGAAAGAATCTATTCTTATTCCGATTCACAAAAAGGGTCCGAGGACGGATTATAATAACTATCGAGGAATTTCACTCCTTCCGGTATGTTATAAAATATTAACTTCAATCTTAACCAATCGAATCACGGAATACGCCGAGGAAATTATCGGAGACTACCAATGCGGATTTAGACGGAATCGTTCGACAATTGATCAAATATTTTCTTTACGGCAAATATTAGAGAAAAAATTGGAGTATAACGGTATTGTTCACCAGCTGTATATAGATTTTAAAAAGGCTTACGATTCTATTGACCGCCAGAAACTGTATAATATTCTAATCGAGCAGGGGATTCCAAAAAAACTAGTAAATCTAGTCAGGATGTGCTTGACGGAGACACTCAATAAAGTTAGAATCGGTAATAATTTGTCCGAAAAATTTGAGGTTCGTTCGGGCTTAAAACAGGGGGATTCTCTTTCGCCTGTCCTGTTCAATTTGGCATTAGAACATGCCATTAGGGAAGTAATGCGAACCGAGAAAGGGTTGGATCTGGGCGGGACAACATCCGTGCTGGGCTATGCTGATGATCTGGTACTGTTAAGCGAAGACGTTGAAACTATAAAACTAAATACGACAACGTTAATGAAAGCCGGTAAAGAACTAGGACTCGAAATAAACGTGGATAAAACAAAATATATGGTTAGCTGCAAAAATGGCGATACTACTGGTGATGTCGATATAGATGGTAATATCTTTGAACAGGTAGATAAATTTAGGTATCTAGGTTCTACGATAACTAGAAAAAACGAAATTGAAGAAGAGATTAAGGTTAGACTGAAGGCGGGGAATGCTTGTTATTTTTCTGTGACAAAACTACTTAGTTCGCGCCTCTTGTCCCGTAACTTAAAAATTAGAATCTATAAAACAATTATCTTGCCTACAGTTCTTTATGGATGCGAAACTTGGCCGCTTACATTAAGGGATGAGCAGCGTCTTAAGGTTTTTGAAAATAAAGTATTGCGTAGAATATTCGGACCGAAGAAGGATGAGTTAACCGGAGAGTTCAGACGGTTACACAACGCCGAATTGCGTGAGCTGTATCCGGGTAATATAATTGAGGTAATTTCATCGCGGCGAATCAAATGGGCTTGTAAAGTTGTTGGGCTTAGTAACGAGAGAATTCCTAAAAGGTTAATATTTGCTGTGCCGAATGGTAAGCGTCCGAGGGGTAGACCGAAGCGAAGGTGGGAAGATTGCATTAAAGCCGATCTGAAGGGACTGGGTTTGGACGGCGAACGGTGGAGGGAGGTGTGTAACAAGCGATTGGTGGTGTCGGCATCGAACCTTCGGGTTCGCTAAGCCTTATTATTATTATTATTATAAACATTAAATAAAAACACATTCAAACTTATTGAGTTGGGCTCTCACTAACGTGTGGAGGAAAAGGCAACACTCTAAGAGATCCCAGCGCTTCTCTCCCAGCAGCATCACTGGTATATGCCCAAACGAGTGATAATGTAGTTATCAATACCGTCGGAGGGTGTTGTATAGAAGTTTAATTTCAATATTCAAGCATTGCTGCCGATGCAGAAGATGATAAATATTATTTCCTGATTTCCTAAATGTAAACTTAGCTTCTTATCTGTAACGAAGTGTGAGGATTATACCAGTTTTGCAACGACTTAATTCCAAGTTGCAAGACAGAGAACGTGAACCTAAGTTAGGAATTTCGCAACAGAAAACAAAAAAGAATTCTAGGTTTTATTTAATCTTAAATTTCCTATTTTTAATAAATTTAATTCAATTTTAAAGTGACAGAATCTAATTTAAACTAATCAAAATAGTTACCCAAGTACACACCTGCTTCTATATATTATCTAAAGAAATTCATTCGCTCAGGATCTCCGAGGCAAGCCTTATCAAAGCCAATCCAAGACACTCGTGGAAGGAAAGGCAGGACTCTAGGAAATCCCAGCGACTCTAACTCAACCGCATAACTGGTATTAAGAAGCAGTAGATGCTGAGCAAAGGGGCTGTAATCACACATACATGGCTTGAATTGAGAATCTGACAATAGCCAAAACTCCAATATACACTTATTCACAATAGCTCTCTGGGTCACTGCCGCTTCAGCCTTCGAGGAGAATTGTAGGGATCGGTGGTGGATAGGAATTGTACAAGAAAATTTGGATAAAAGGTAAGGTTCTGGTATAATTTGGAAAAGAATTACATAAGGTCTAGACAAAAGGGATATTAAGGTCATGGTGTAGAGTTTTATTGGTCACATGGAATGGAGCATCAACTATTGTTCGAATTACTTTAGATTGAAAGGATGGAATGAATTTGATGTTGGATACTTTTTGGTCTCCACAGTTCAATACCGTATGTCCACATAGGTTTCAGGATCGTCTTGTAGATAAGTAATTTGTTTTCAATAGAAAAATATATGTTGGCATTTGGATTCATTCACTTTGATGCGCCAGTTTTTACGCCAGTGGTCAATCGAGGAGAGATGCCTTTGCAGATTTGAGGATGCTATTTCGGGATCAGAGTTGGATGAAAGGATTGCTGTGTCATGTAATGTGGTAAGGAAGGTATCGGTATGAATAAGAATACATTAGGATAGTAGACAAATCCTTGGACTTTGCTTACATTCTTGAGAAAACATGATAATTTTCCATTTATCCTTATCCGATCTCATGTGTACAATTGATCACCAATCATCGACAAATTTGCACAATATCACTTTTCTATAGAAATCCATCATAAAAATACTTATAACTAGTTAAGCTATACATAATTTAATGTTTTTTTTTTTTTAATTTTATATGCTTGCATTGGATTATGTTAGCTAATTGTCTTACCCCGTCTTCGCGAAGTTCGTCCATAGTGACATCATTGTCTCGGAGAGGTGTTTCTCTGGTCGGCTGTAATAGATAGAAGAGCCGTACCTTCCGCCTTCCAAGGGCTCGCCCAGGACATAAGCCAAGTTCTCACCTTGCGCGTTGTGCAGCGACTGTGGAAATTGTAAACGGTTAATCAATGAGCTACAAAAATATACGTAAATTAAAATTTAATCTAAAGTAGGGATTCTTCATTAGGAAAAAAACAAAAGAATTCTGAAAAAATAAAATAATAATAGCATTTCATCAAAACAAAAAAGAGACAGTACACATTTTAATAGTCCATTTTAGATGCTCCATAGTAGTAGATATGTATACACACGGCACCATTAAAATATGTTCCTATTCGCAATTGTTAAATAAAAAAAATAAATAAAATAAAAGTAGTCGTTAATAAGTTCATGACCACAGTCTTTCAAAATATAAAGAGAAAGAATTCACAACTTGTTCACTTTGGACAGGTTACCAAAACAAATTACGAATTAGTGTTGCCCAAATGCGCGACCGAGACAAGTCTTAGTCTTGCAAACTCAGTCTTGGACATGGTCTTGGTCTTGCGCCAGAGTCTCGCAATAGTCTTGCTGTTATTTCTTAGCTCATACATATTACTGTGTTTTTTTAGATAGGAGAAACCTAACTAAGTTCGAATGAAAAATTAGAGGAGTTAAATGCAAAAGTATATGGGTTATACCAATTATTAACATATTGTAACTAAGATTGTCAAATATTACTAACTAATTTGCCTTAATTCTTATTTAAAAATCGATTATTTTAACCCGTCCTGGTCTTGGCCTTGCAACAGTTAGATGGCCTTGGTCTAGCAAGACCAAGACCGATTTTGGACAACACTATAACTAACACATCCGGAATATGTATGAACACGTTTCACGGATATACCAATAAACTTGTTCAAATCATGATCAAGGAAAACATGCTATAGCAAGTATAAAAAGAAAAGAAAATAGATTTGTTGGAATAAAACTAATTTAAGTTAGAATAAGATATTTTGTCCTGAAATACCTTACGCATGGCCTCGTAATGGTGGTTTACCGGATACGAACATTATATAAAGTTAATTAATAATAATAACATATCGTTTATTTATTCCTGAACTAGTATATTGCATTAGATATGTATACATACGGCACCATTAAAATATAATCCTATTTATAACTGTTAAATAAAAAAAAAATAAATAAAATAAAAGTAGTCGTTAATAAGTTCATGACCAAAGTCTTTCAAAATATACAGAAAAATAATTCACCATTTGTTCACTTTGGATAGGATACCAAAACAAATATATTATATAAACATCCGGAATTTGTATAAAACACGTTTCACGAACATACCGACAAACTTATCCACATCATGATCAAGGAAAACATGCTATAGAAAGTATAAAAAGAAAAGCCTAAAAGATTTGTTAGAATAAAACTAATTTAACTTGGAATTAGATATTTTGTCCTAAAGTACTTACGCATGGCCTCACAATGATGGTTTGCCAGATGCGAAGATTATATAAAGTTAATTAATAGTAATAATAACATATCGTTTATTTATTCCTGGACTAGTATATTAGCAATAAAATATATGTAAAGCCTTGTGAATTTCAGAAACTTAAAATAAAATTGAAAACGATAACAAAATAAAAAAACAGGAAGTAATAATTAATGATGAGGAATCAATATCATTAATTAAATAAAAAATAAATAATAATAACTAAAAAAAACTAATAAGTAATTTAGATACATGTTTATCAAAACGCCACTTTACTATTTTTGGCACTGAACGGATAGAGAGTGATTGAATAGGCGAGATTTTGGAGCGACGCGTCGGATGTAGACTATAATGAAATTTAATAGGGACAAATACCGGATAATGAAAGGTATGTCGAAAGCCTAGACGAGGAAGAATCTTAAGAAATATTTATTAAGATAGAAAGGATAAAACCACTCCAACTCTTCATAAAATGAGGAGACAGTACCCTCTCGTGGGATACTAAAGATGGATCGTACAAAGCAATTTATCAAACGTTTTAGTTTGGCCTCAAAACCTCTAGAGACACTATCACATACCGTGAAACAGTAGTAAAACTCGGAAAATATTAAAGACAAGTAAACAGAAGCCGAGGTGTTTTAAATAGAAATAGGTAATGTAGTAATTTTATAGAAAAGGTACTCAGGGAGATGTATTTTTTTAAATAAAGAGTTTGATCAAAGAATATTGTATGATTTTTAATGGCTCAGTAGAATTTTATAGGATTATTATATAATGATAATTTTAAGGAGACGGTTGCAGCCATTGAAATCGCCTTTGTCTTTTTATCATTCAACTTCAACATGTTAACTTCTGCCCATTAACAAATTATATTAAAATCCTCTTGAAGTTTTTTCGTGACTATTGATTTATTTAAATAAAAAAAATCTAAAGGTCAGTTGTGATTGGTTCCGATTTAATGGAGTTTTTGTCATCCAATAAATTGTCGTGTGCAAAAATTATTTTATAAATATTTTTTTACATGACCCATTGACCTAGAAAACTGATTTTTAGTATAGATGATTTTTGTCATTGTTACGTCAGCATAAGGAAGATATTAACTAGTACCTCTTCGCCATCTAATGTATATACGAGAAAATAATTTTTAAAAAATTTTTGATTGCAATGTTAGTAGAGTAACTATATGATTTTTTTCAAGAAGTACAGTAGCACACACACAAAATTAAAAAAAAAAAAATAAGTCTGACCAGGCAGTACAAACAACTGTTACATCTTCTGCACTCAATTTACTAGACAGCTGACTAATATAAACCTATTTGACTAATGTATTAATACCTATTTGGGCATACGGAGCAGAACTTTGGGGTTCCGAAAAACACACACACATGAACAAAGTTCAAACCACACAATTCAAAATACTTCACGAAGTCGTCAATACTAATATGTTTATTTCAAATCACATCATACACACAGACATGAACATACCAAAAGTAAATTCCTACATAGACAGTGTTTCGTTTTTCTACTCTTAATCATCCAAACCCAATCGTCCTATCTCTTTCTTCCTCCATGTTACCCGGTGAGCCTCTACGGCGAGTAGAAAGACGGTGGCGTACAGATCTCCTACTGACAATGTAAACAAGGACCGTGAATAAAAGAAGGCAGAATAAACAGCAACACAGTTTCTTGATGCTTTACAACGCAGAGGAAAATTAAATGTAAAATAAATAAGTACAGTATATAAATAAATACAAGTGAAAAATAGTTAAATTTTGAGTTTTGTGGTTTTCTTTTGCATTGGTGATATGGCCTTGTCAAATCAGAGAAAATATGAAGTAAAATAAAAATAAAATTTTAGGGGAAGAATATATTCAGGGGTGGCGGGCATAAAGATACTAAAATAGTGGAAAATGTAATTCATTTCAAGCAAACGTTCCAACCCGACTTTGCAGGTCTTCTTCAGGGAGGTGCGTTCAGCAAGAAGTTTCACTTAAAATTGTGATTTTTTGTGGCAGTTTTAAACCGCATCCCAATAGGGCTAGATACCCCTTACTACCCATAAGGGAAGGCTTATGCACAAGAGATGAAGAAGGAAAAAAAGAAAAAGAGAAAAATAATCAATTCCTTTCTTCTCATAATAAACAAATAATAATTTATTTTCAAACTTCAGAAAATATTGAGTTAAATGTATTATTTATTAATTGTTGCATAAATAAAGTGAATATCATTCATTCCGTTTTAACTGAAACTTCTTGCCAAACGCACCCCCCAGAAGAAGCCCTGCAAAATTGGCTTGAAATAAAATAGTTTTTCCACTATTTTAGCATCTTTATGACCGCCACCCCTGACCATTTTCCTCTAAAATATACAACGGTCAACTACTAAGTATTCAAAATAACATATATTTATAAATGTATCCCAAACCGTTCTGTAAATTATTCTTACCTTAATATGTTCGCATTGTTCACTGAATGAGATTTAAAAATACTTTAAGATTTTTCACTAAGCATAATACCGTAAGATGACTACCACATAGCCCATCAGATCTGGCACACGTACTCCCAACAAAAGAAAGCTTCGTGGGTCAGCCGGCAGCGGAAGGTACTCGCTGAGGACAAAGACATTGGAATGGAGCCAACAAGGATCTATGAGGAAACGGGTTCATGTCGGATTTATCTAACTCTAAGAATAGAAGGTAACGGGAAGGATATCTCGGTAAAGGAAGGAAGAAATAAGGATTGCTCACCAGTTACGGGACCAGGTTTGCCTGGCAGCTAAGTCTGTTATTTTGGCATAGTTGGCATTTTATTCTTTTATAGAAACAAATATCTATTGTAGCCAGGGCCTATTAATATGTGTTGCACATATAGAGAACACGAGACGGTAGAATTCGCGCCGCCAGTTTAGCACATCTGGAGCTACGCCTAAGTTATTTTCTGAAAAAAATAATGCAATCTTCCTCAACTTGATTTCTGAATCTTAGAAGAAATATATGATATCCTTTTAAAAATCGATGAGCGTTAAGTCCATATTAATTAATTCGGGTATGCTGAAGTATGAAATAAGATTCGGTTCCACTTTTCAAAATCTTCAAATACCGCCATTTCAAAGAACGAATGCTTCATCAAAAATAATTACGAAGAATTATTATCACTACTTGTTTTAGACTTAAGATAATGTAATAAATTAATTCTTAAAAAATACTTATTTAAAAATAATATACGTCTATTTTTTTTTAAATTTAATTGGTAGCACATTGATACGTTTTACGCATAACTGAGTTAATAGTACTAGAGGACTATTTATTGAGTTGAATACTATTATCTATATTAACAAAATAAATATTGCTTTTTCTTCGTAAAAAAAAATAATATGTTTTCCTACATAAGTAGAGTTCCTTTCTAAATTTTCTCAATGTGGCATCCGAATGCAGCATTTTTGAGCAAAAGACGTAAATACAACTTTATTGTAATACATTATTATTATTTCTCATCATATCTAAATTAAAAAAATAAAGCTGCTATTAACTTTAATAGCTTGAATTATTTTGTAAGAAAAAGTTATTTTAGTAAACATAATAATGATGATTCATGATAGTGACTGTAGTGAAAAAAAAACTGTTCAGTAAAAAAAAAAAAATAAATGATATTAGTTTTTATATTGCCAACGTTTCGGCCTAAAGTTGAGGCCTACATCACAGCTAAGAAAATACCAGATAAGAATATGAGAAACTAATAACTTATGAAGAAAAAATAAATAATATCAATAATAATAATAATGTAAGGAACATATGAAAAAAATAATAACAATAACAGATAGTATTATATAGAGGAAGAGATTAGTTAAAATTTCGTAGTTGCTAAAATATGATATCTTAGAAAGTTAAAAAGAAGTGAGATAGGCAAAGAATAAAATGTAAATAGAGAAAACTAATATGAAGTTGTATAAAGAAAATAATAGATTTAAAAAGAAACATTAAGATATTTTAAAACCTATCAAAGCATACTGACAACATAAAAGCGAAATTAAAAAACTAAAATTATGAAAATAAGATGTAATGAGTAAATCTATTAATATACATAAATATGAAAAACAGCAGGGATATGAAAAAGAAAGTAATGAAAAAAAGTAAATTGAGGAGAATACTGAGATAACAGAAAAAGACCAACCTGGACTCACGAGATGTCCCTCAAGATAAGACTATTTGGACCCGAAACATTGGAACTTAAATAGCGCCCGGATGTAGGCCTGAACTTTGGGCCGAAACTTCGGCAACTATAAAAATAATTATCATTTATTTATTTTTAGTTTGTTTTTTACTGAACACCACAACCAATTTTTCTTTAATTATGATTGATCACTTCTTCATGAAACTCCCTTTCATTTAATACCTCATTGATTAGAATCCATTTAAATTTATTTAAATTACCTCATAAAGTTAAAATCCATAGCCGGAAGGGGATATACTTGTATATTATCGAATCATAAGTATCATAGATAATAAGGAAAGAACATAAATGTACGATTTATTCTTATTATCCAATAGTCATCAGAAGTGACTCAAATCCCACCATATAACCAGTAATTTACATGTTGTAATAACATTCATGGAGTATAAGGAATTATAAAAAAAATCAACGAATGATTTTTAACGAAGAATGAAACTGTTTCGAGTCAGATATGGGTTAGCTGTGAGATAAGAGGTATCGGGAGGCATATCTCAAGCCGCAGGCTACTCAAGCCTGGGTCCTGTAGCTACCATGGTGTCCTGGCGAGACATCGAGAGGCCATTTATCAGCGAGATAAGACCGCCACTGGAACTGAAAGAGCTTCGTCCAAAGCCGATAATACTCAAGCAACTCTAAGCCCCTCTTCTCTTGCTCCAGTCATTTTTACCTAGAGGTAAAAATCACCAAGTTTTTTCACACACAAAAAAAAAAGATACAGCTGAATTTGTTTAACATATGTTTTAACATGTAACTTTTTTATTTATTCACACCTGTCGAAAATAGTATTGACAATCAGTGAATTAGATTATCGTGAAATGGCTTGGAAGGCATGAGGCAGTACCCAGCGGCAATTCCAGGTGTAATACCTACATTCAACGAGGAGATCCCTCGCCCAGCTCCTCTTCATTCTTCTAAGGACGTTAACTGACCTTTGTTTTGCGCCCACTCCATTTATGAATATGTTAGGATGTCCCTGTTAGTTGTCACTGAATCGTTTTTAATAGGGCCGAATGAGTTAGTTTACAATCGGCACTGAAAATGAAAATTAGTATGTATGATTATGTTGCTAACGTACCAAGATGCTTTTGAAATTGTCCATAATGTTTTTGCTTGAATGATTTTAAGTCTGGAAATACAAATCATTTCATAATAGTTTTTAGTAAGTAAGTGTATGAATTCAATTCCTGTATCAGTTCTAGTTTTGAGTCTTTCTACAGAAGTGAATGTAAAAGTTTTTAGATTTTTATAAGAGGCTCTACCAAACCATCGAATTCCTATCGTGTCCAATCCTTACAATCAAAAATCCTCCGTAAAATCCTTAATGCCCATATATTGTTACAAATTAAACCATTCATAAAGACCTTAATGTTCCATATGCCGCTCATTTAGCTTGAGCCAGATACATATCCTTTAATGATAAACTCCAGTCCCAACCGAATCCACTTGTTTCCAGCATTGATTCTTCCTCGATTTCTGATAATCCCCATAGGCGTCTGAAAATAAGATGGCCTTGTGATCTTCTCACCTAGAATTAAATAGGGAGTGCTACCACTGGGCAGTATCTAGTCTATTCATGTCATTATTTCTAATGTATTCATTTTTACTAGTTGTATTGTTTATAAAGTTGTAAATGCCATTAAACAAAAAAAAAGACTTATATGTGGATCCCATGTCATTTCTCGGTCAAATATCAGACCAAGTTCGTGATAATAGATTTTTTTTTTCATGAATAGCAAACGCTCTAAGATGAAAACTAGTCATCTATATAATATTAATTTTTTATTTTTTTTTCAAACGACTTTGTTACAACCCAATGTCTTAAGTCGTTATCTAATTGTTATTTCTTTTTATCATAGCAATCTTCCTCTATTTGTCCTCTTCCTGTCATTGCTTATTGTTTTACTATTATAAGTAATAATAGTAAAAACTTATTATTACTTCTACTATCCATCTTTTTTTCTGGTGGATCTCTCTTTCTCCTTTCCCATGGTACATGCTTAAGCATCTTTCCAGGTCATCGGTCGTCCAAAAATCTCATGACGTGTCGATAACATCTCAATTTTTTTATCTCAATTGAGTATAAGATGTTTATAAGTTATTTTACTTTTGATAAATTACTGCTGGAGTAATTTTGAACTGATAAGTTGCAATCATTATTAACTCAATTTAGGTTCCTTTTTTTATTAAATTTTATTTGATCAGTTTAATTAGATTTTTTGTGTAGTCACTAGTAATATGTTTTATAATAATTAATATTTATTTTTTATGGACGAATATTAGTTCCTTGATACTTTGTTTTTTGATAAACAATTAGTTGCTATGAAAGCTATTACGAATCTAAGAATTAAATTCAAGTTAAACTTCAATCTAAAATTTCAACCAAGTCTCCCCTACTTTCATAGATTAAAAACATGAAAGCATTTTTGTAATATTAATCGATATTTTATATTTAAAAACCTCGATATTTTTGTCGATATTATAATCTTTTACTATTTACCAAGATTAAAAGCATCCAGTTATATAGAACTATCGTTTTTTTTTTTTTTTTTGTTTTTTTTTTTCGTTATTCTCTTCACTAGTGAGAAGAACTCTGGAACTCATCAATACGAATATAATACTTAGGACACCCGAAAATAGTTTTATTGTTCTGACGACTGTTTCAAGGGTTGCACATTGCAAGAATAACTAATTAGCTACTCCGAAAAACAAATTATGGCATAGGAAATCTAAATTAAGAACCTAAAAACGTATCAAAACCGAAATAAATATAACTAAATTATAAGAGTTATAAATATTACGTGTATGTTTCCTTTTTAAATCATTAATAGGACTCGTAATCAAATTTAGGTAATTAGGTCTTAGACCTTACTTAAGAGGTGGATGAGATACCGGATTGATGAATTCATCGGGAAGAGGGAATAGGTTTCGATCATTAGAGGGAGAGATTAGGCAGGCATCTGGTGTCCCTATTCCCTGCTCTCCTCCTAGTTTCAAATAGGGCTAGCGATCAATAGAGGGCGCTGTTTTACGCCTCTGCTAGACTCAAGGCACATTTTTATTATAATATTTTTATGATTATCAATAAATATTATTGAGAATTTTATATGCTTTCTGATTTCACACTTAATGACTATTTTACTATTATACGTTAGCTGCGGTTACGGTTCCCGGCGTCTGTGAAATATAATGATTAATTACGTCTGTATCTATCTTTACATCTATCCAACTCCCATTCAAATATTTTAAAAATGGTTATTTTAGGAACTTAAGGTACGAAAAATTCGAAACAATCCCTTCACAGGTCGAGACGAATATCGGAACTCGTAAAGGCATCTAATGTTTTAAGACTTTGAACATATATTTCACACCTATTTACATAAATGACTAAGAGAATATCACGCTGAGATGATAAATGATATTAAGAATATTAAAGGAATCTGACTTTTATATTTATATTTCGTTATTTTTATTATATAAAGTCTTTACTACAAACCCTATTAAAATTTTAATAGCTTTTTTATTTAAGAAAATTCTCGAATGAGTTTTCAATCTGAAGATAGGAAAATTTTGTCTATTTACCTCGATAGTAAAAACTCATGAACACCTGGAATGAATACAATCGGAAATATTTTAAACAATAAAATAAAATCGTTGGTATATATTAAACATGAAATGCACTTAGATCAAATTCACAAAAAAAAAAATCATATTAAAAATGTTTTAGGAGAAGGCAGTGGATCAGCTGATGAGAAGGTTGTCTCCTCAACTCCTCTCTCAGTTTTTACCAATTTTATAGCGGAATCTCTCTGATTATTCACGTGATACAGTTAAAGTGTATATCAGAGCAGTTGATATTTACTGTTGGCATCTTTTTTTTTTGTTATTTTAAGAAAAAAAAAAAAAAAAAATTTTTTTTTTTTTTTATTTATTTATTTATTTTTCTCTTATGATATGCGGTATGATCAGCAAGTGATGGCCAGTAAGGTGCCCAAGAGGTCTCGGTCAGACGGAGTTAGCTCACCAGCCAAACAAAGGACTCGTCGCTGCCTACGAGAAATACCTCCAGTGACCAAAATGAACACTTCAGAACCAGAACCTCAGCCCCAACCAGGTACGTCTGCACAAGAAACGATTGAAGAATCACCTTTCTTTACTCCAAACCCCTACCAAGTGCTTCAAAATGACAAAGAAGTAATGGAGTCTGCAGCAATACCCAGAGAACCAAAGCCTCCTCCGATATTTGTGAAAAATATAAAAAATTTCCAGATGTTCTGCACCCAACTAAATAAAATCTGCTCTGGCAGTTATTCATGCCTTAACAGGACCAATGACACCAAAATAACACCTGATTCTGCAGAAGCCTACCGAAAAATAGTGAAGTACTTATCAGAAACAAATGCGAATTTTCACACTTACCAGCTGAGGCAGGAAAGAGCTTTACGAGTAGTGATAAGAAATTTACATTCCTCAACCCCCACTGAAGTTATTAAAGAAGAACTAACGACGCTTGGTTTCAATGTACGCCAGGTAACAAACGTTTTGAAGGAGGACAGGGAGCAGCCAGGATTACGAAATAGGATCCCACTACCATTGTTTTTCGTGGACTTGGAGCCATCACCAGGTATCGAAAAAATATATGATATCACAAGAATATACTACACAATGGTGAAAGTTGAGAAGCCATATCCCAAGAGAGACATCGTGCAGTGCCATAATTGTCAGACCTATGGCCACACGAAGACATATTGCCACCATCTGCCGCGTTGCGTGAAGTGCGGTGAACAGCACAAATCTGTAGAGTGCACCAAACCTATACAAGATCCAGCAGTATGTGCCCTATGCTTGGAGGGACACCCGGCCAACTACAAAGGCTGCCAAATTTACAAGAATCTCAAAACCAGACACCAGAAAAACTGGATTCAAGATGAAGCACTAAGAACAAGAAGAGAGAGAGAGCCTTCCAGAATTGTAAACAATGATGTATCATTCTCCCAACTACTTAGAGGTAAGACTTTAACCGATAAATGTCAAGCCCTGCCACAACAACAACCTCAAACCCAACCTCAAAATCCTCTTCATCCTAATATACCTAACCACCAACAACAAATTCCTCATATTCCTCCTCCTTCAAATGCAACAGATCTCACAAGTTTGTTAGCATCTTTCCTCACCGATTTCAAATCCCTTGTTACTCCACTCATATCACTCCTCACGAATCTCGTATCTCACCTCATCCCTCCTTTGAAAAATCCTTAAATGACTCACATCCCTAAACCCATATCCATTCTCCTTTGGAATGCGAATGGTGTTAGAAATCATACAGACGAACTATCTACTTTACTACTTGACAAGAACATTGATGTGGCACTAATTACTGAAACTCGACTAACTACTAAACGGCACTTCAATATACCACAATACCTGACATATCGTACTGACCACCCTGACGGAAAAGCACATGCCGGTACTGCTGTAATTGTACACCAATCCCTCTCCCATCACGTACTCCCATTACCAATACATGATTTCCTAC